AAGTTGTGAATTGGGATAGGGAATGATGGTTTTAAAAAAAGGGGAATTATATTAATATGTAGTCGGTCGCTGCATCATGTGTGTCTACATGCAAAATGAACTTGACGCCACAGAGATTCTAGGGTTGACGCCATAAACAATTTAGGCGATTTGTGTCCCTTCTTTGCGATAAATACTGGTATTAGTATGTTAACATTAAAATGCCATCAATTCATTACTAGCAGATTCGATAAAGTCTGTTTCTTTACAAATAATCGCGATTGATGTTTAACTTTAGCTCATTTGTTATATTTAAACACGTGATACAAGTACAGAATTTGGCTTTTCGGGGTTTGGCCTTTTCTTTCTGTTTAGAAGCGAAGTGTATTTGACTAAAGAGTATAATATCTTAATATTAACTAATAAAAATGTATTAATTGAGCATGTTTAATAGTATATTGTTTTATACTTGTATTATTAAAACTTAACAACAATATGGAGATATATAATAAAGTTATAACTTAAAGTTTGCGCGTGGATGTAAGGTTTAAGGGCAAATGACTTTATCAGGGCGTTGACACTAAATTATCAAACTATATTTATAAAATGATAAACATTTAGCGCTCATACTACGATACAACTTGGTCGAAATGTTGACATAATTAAATATGAGTATTAATTGGTGCCACAACTTGCAAGTTTATCGAACTTTTTCGCAAGTTAGCTCTTGACAAAAAAGTTGTCTTAATTCGGTTGATGTTTTTCTTGTGTCTCTGTGGCGTTGAAAACCCTGAATCTTTTTGAAAGCCAAACGTTCTCGAAAAGTGCCTTCTTTTTTTTGATACGGATTATGGGGAAATCATCAAAAGATAAACGTGATATCTATTATCGGTTAGCCAAAGAACAAGGGTGGAGAGCTCGCAGCGCATTTAAATTGCTACAAATCGATGAAGAGTTTGATTTATTCAAGGGTAAACCAAATGAATGTCTCATGTAATAGATATCATTCAATCAAGCATCATATAAAAAGCTCTCTATTCCCTAGGCGTGCATAAGGCAGTCGATTTATGTGCTGCACCTGGCAGTTGGTCGCAAGTGTTGACCAAAAAGCTAAAGTACGCTCCACATAATACTACTCTTTTTCTTTCGAGAACAGATTGCAAAGAATTGAGTCATAGTTTTTTAATTATTATTACTATAGTGAGAACCGTGTTAATGATGAATCGCCCCCAAAGATAGTAGCCGTCGATTTGCAAGCCATGGTCTGTGTCTCTTTCTTTATCCCATAACCTGTTTAAATTAAATAGTTCTGACCCCATTCTGTATAGGCCCCCTTGGAAGGTGTCATTCAGATACAAGGCGATATCACAAAGTCATCGACTGCCGAACAGATTATTTCATACTTTGAGGGAGAATTGGCTGATCTTGTTGTATGTGATGGCGCTCCAGACGGTAAGGAATGCTCAAATATCAGCACATAACATGCATACGGTATAATACAACGTAAAGACAAATTATAGTTACCGGACTACATGACATGGACGAATACATTCAGGCGCAACTCTTGTTATCGGCCTTGAACATAACAACCCATATATTGAGGCCGGGTGGAACATTTGTTGCCAAGATCTTTCGAGGGAAAGATGTTACTCTGCTTTACGCACAGTTGAAAGTATTTTTTCCGGTTGTTACGTGCAGCAAACCAAGGAGCTCGCGCAATTCTAGTATAGGTATGTTGTGTGTAATGACGCGTGTATGTACGTAGAAACATTGCTAACAATGTTGGTTGATGCAATAGAGGCGTTTGTCGTTTGTCAGAACTATACTCCGCCTGAAGGATATACACCAACTATGGCAAACCCGTTAATGGATTTTTCGTACGGTAAAAATGCCCTTTAATCATCCAAGGAAATTCTCGATTACAAATGCAAATCATTGTTAAACTGACGGGTATGGATTAGGTCCCGAGAACGAGTTGTTGGGGGTAAATCGTGTAATTGTTCCCTTTGTAGCCTGTGGAGATCTTAGGTATTTTTGTCAAACTCATCCTGCTTTAGAACGTATAGCTTCGTGTGTTCGATTACTCAATTGTTACTGTATTGATTTTAGTGGGTTCGATTCGGACAAGACGTATCCGCTCGAGGTACGTTTTGTCGGTTCATTTTGTTATGTATTTGCAACCTGATATCTAATATTCGATTATTACTAGGGAGAGAGTCTGGACCCACTTCAACCGCCAATAAGTGCTCCATATAAAACAGCCATATCGTTGAAACAACAGAATTTTTACAACAAAGTCCCATAACGAAAATCAATTCTATTAATATTTATTGATAAATAATATTACAAACCAAATCGACTGGCAAAAAAACTGCCACAACATTATTGCTGCGTCATCGCTTCCCCTCTCTCCCAATGTTTTAATCATAAATTAGTTTGTCATGAAAATTATCATTAATTATGGCAGCAGCAAGCAGCTAAGTTATTGTTATTAGCATTGCGGCTGAATAATACAATCACATATGGCTGGTATTGTTTCGTCTCGCATTAAGAGCTTAGCTTGCTGAATATTGTGGGTTCGCCGTTAAATGGACCACTATCTTTTGCTTTGCTTTTAATATTTTCCACAATCTCTTTAACATGTGATCTCTCCAAATCGTCTCTCCTGCTTAGGATGTCCTCAATTAACCCAACAGGTACGTCTCCGAATGATTGCCTCAATTTGTAATATTCCAAGTATATGGTAGCACGAGAAGCGGCAAGCACTTCTGATAGCCGCTCCAATGCGTCAAATCTTATAGCCAGTTCGTCCTTTGGAATCAGCTGGATGAAGAAATCGCGCGCAAGGCGAATATCTTTATGCATTATTTCAATAAATTCACCCATCCTAAACTTGGCTCCACGTTGTCGCATCGCTTCAAAACAAGCAATCAGAAAAAGTTCAAGGCTGCTACTCATCAGCGTATGCAAAAGATATGCGTTAAGATGATTTTTAAAGTCTTGTGTATAGTCCTTCAATGTCTCGATTATGAATAACATCGGATCGCTTTGATACCATTCGGCAGTGTACATCTGGCTAAAGGGACGTTTAAGGTCATTGAATACCACGTCCAATATAGTATCCGTACCTACTTTTGCTACGTTCAAAAACCCATCCATTGCAACGTTCAAATCAGCGTTAATTTGAGCGCGATATCGTTCAGCCAACATTGGCTCGAGCCGCTTGACTACATCTTCTGTAAATTCAGCACATCTTATTTGATCGTTGGACAATGCCATTACATATTCCACGAAACCGGGTGGAGCTTCCTCTCGCTGATCCATCTGCTTCTTTGCTTCCGATTTTATTACCCTTAGCCATTGTTGTTGCGTATCTATCATTACTTCGCTACATTGCTTTACTACATTAGCAAGTATCTTTGCTTGTCCCGATTCCGCTGCGACGTCAATCTGCTGATTGACCATTTGGAACATAATGACTGCCCCTTGCAGTAGATACAGCATGTCAGCGTCTTTTTCAGGAGGCTTTGCACGTTGTACGAATTCGCCAACTTCATCATTCATCAAGTTCTTGCTCCACTCTTCCAATTTGCTGTGTACTAGTTTCATATAGTCATCAACGAGTTCCTGCTCTCTACCATCTAGCAGACGTGGCTCTAGCATATCTTCAGGCACACGAAGTTCCTTTGCCATCCTCTTGTGATATCTACGAACAAATTTAATCATCCTCAGCATTGTAACTGCATCCAGATCGGACTTGGATAACTTATCAAGCATATTATATATGTGTCTATGATACTCTAATACAAATACTGCAAAAATATTGTACTTCTTTGGAAATTTTGGTACTAGTTCCACATTAACAAGCTTTAGATCGTCATAGATGAATTCAGTGTTTTCTAATAGCTGCGGGGGATCTTCCTTGAATCCATCAAAGAAGCTATTAAACATATCGGAGATGGAAACATGTAATTTATTCAAAAACTTGCTTCTATATGATCTAATTGTACGTGGACTTGTCCGTATTGATTTGAATTTTGTAGCCAGATCCTGATGAGATTGTCGTGCTTGTTCAGCTGTCGTTGCCCGCTCATCTGCCTGTTCTTCAGCCTCAATTATTTTCACCAAACGAACAACCACCGTGCCTCTACCAAGTCTGGCCAAGTCAATTAGATTCCTCGTCAAGGTCCACAAATAATTCTCAAACACCTCTAGCAGATCGTCCAAAGGTTTAAAGTATTTTTGTAACGTTACTGTGACGTCCTGTGATGCATTCTTTGCTTGGAACATTGTGTTATCTTTAAATTCTGCCAAATGAAACAGTTGAAAGTGGACAAGTAACAAGTTCTTGGCCGGACCCGTTGGATCCTGCTTATCATTAGACAAGAGTTCACGTATCGTATCAAGCTTCGTATACATCTCTTGCAATTTGTTTATTGTCTCTTCGGTGGCGACAAAGTTCCTATGTACTTGAGAAATCTGGCAAATTAATAGGAAATTAGACCACACAATTTATGTTCTTATACGAAATCATCGCACATGCAACGACATTAAACGTCTATCGTTTTTGAAGTGAACCGCGTACGATTAAATGGGAAAATTGTTAAACTGACCTGACTAATCCTAGGAAAGTGTTGTATCATTCCTTGTGCTGAGGAGCAAAGCTTATCTATTCCTTGCATATTTTCTTTAATAACTATCATTTCCTTTCTGGACGTATCAAGTGTCTCTAAGCCCTGTCTGGTATTATCCAACTGTGCCTTCACCCCTGTCTTCAATTGCGCATCGGTTGTTGCTTTCTCTTTGGCAAACCTTTTACGCAACAAACTAACTTTCACCAGATCGTCTGGCGATCGCAGCAGCTCGGTCATACGTGCTATAGCTGCGTCCACAGCGTCACTTGATGCTTCCATGACTGAGTGAGCTGCTAGATAATGAAGGTTTAATTTTCAAAGTTTTACATAGTGAACGTCTTAGATGACATCATCAGTGCATTATGTAGCACGCCATTATGTAGCATTTAACGCATATATTTAATGAATTAAGCCCGACTTTTGTTGACGTTATATTCCCTCCCAAAATGAATTTGATATATAATGTAACTCTGAATAATGAGATAAACTTCATGCTGTATCGCATCGTGTTCAAAAAAAGGGCAGTTATTAATTCGATTTTCGCGTTTGAATTTAACTTATTTACCCAAACCACATAAGATTGAACTTTTCTCTTTCACTTTCTCCAAAAATATAAAATTTAAAGGTTAAAAAAAATATAAAATAAAAGAGGGAAAAGCAAAAGTCGAAGCATGCCTCTAATTAGCACAACCTATAATTCGAAACAGTCGCGTTATCTAGACAGCCCGGCCTTTTATTTGCCTGACAAAGGTTATTACGAGAACTCTGGTTTGTAGATACGGGCTTTAAATTCGATCAATAGTTGTAAAGTTTTAGCACTTTTCTCTAAGCATTGTAATTTCTCAGCCAAAGAACAGACTTTTTACTCAATACTAGTTAAAATTGTTGTCATGTTGCCAACATAAAATTGATTATATAGAGATACTGGTAAGACGTATTGAAAAATTGTAGCCAGTTTATCACCACAAGTTTCATACAATTACTGTTGCGTATCTATTTAGTAAATAAATTGAGAATTAACGTTTATAATATATTTACTAAACAATATTGAAGAATATCATAAACAAGGATAAAGTCTGTATTGTTACAAAAAACTAGCTCATTACCTCTTTGGCTACCAACAATTTTGCAATACAAAATACAACGCGGACAGCCGTTACGTGACAATTTGTATATCGTTTCAATAAATAATATTTTTGGATGTCCACTTGCTTAAGGATCAAGGAGATGGAGTGCAATAATGTCGAAATTAATATAGTGCAAGACATATAATATAAAAAGTAATTTTTAATATTGGCGACACATCTTTAGCGTTACTATTTAGGTGCTGTGACTCTTCCGGTAGTGTTTGATGGCCTGAGATGCGACATTAAAAATTTTTTTATGTTTTATTTTACAATAATCTGTACAATATTCCCTCAGCAATTAACCAAAATATTCTTCTGCAGAGTATAATACAATAAACAAATTTATAACAGTTATTATTTAATAGTGTTAGGAATTACAAAATGTAGACTCTAATTTGATTAGAATTATGGAACTAATGTAAATCAAACCGTTGGTTATTTTCTGATGTTATAAATATTTGGCTTTGTTTTAACATTAACTTTTAATTTTGTATAGCTTAATTCAAAGTTATACTTGGGATTCTTGGTAGTTGATAATCAAAAACATCGTTTTATGCCCAACGAATCCACACATGGTGCAATTATAACAAATTGAAACAAAAATGAAGAAAAAACAGGTTTATATTTAAACACGAGACACGTTAATTTGGGAAATCTAATTAGAAGATTATTATTACAACTTTTAAAATATTCGGTTGAATGATCGTCTATCACCTAACATTATTTAAACCGCGAAAAGTAACAAATATTAAATGTCAAATTGGAAATTTCATACTTGTTGGGCAAAAATAAATAAATTAATTAATAATAATAATAATTTAATTCTAGAATGTTTATTTCGATTTTCTAAAAAAATTCGTTGTTAATGATATTACTATATAGTTAATTAACGATGTATTAAAGAACAAAGTTTCGTATCTTCATTAAAACTATACGAACATCTTTTACTTTCGATTCGTTGTTACGATGATTGTTCTGTATTTTATTAAATCGATGTTTATTCATGAATACGAACAAGGTTTATAAAAAATCAGTATTCCATCCTGTCTTCTTGGTTATAATCTTCTTACTGTGAAATTCACGTATCGTATTACATAGAATTTGGCATCTTCCAACTAGCGTACCCTATTTAGCGTGAAACAAGAATAAAATAATGTAACACGGATGATTGTGGTTTTAGTCTGGAGAGCTGATATTAATATTAATATGATAAGCTTTTAAACTAATCTGCCATTGTTATATAACTCCCAGAAAACGTTGAAATTGATATGGAGGGCGGTCACAGACTATTATTATTATGAAACGTTATAGAGTTAAATGATTACCATTAACTCCGACATTTGCAATTACTACGGCATATGATTCCTTATTTATTCAGAAATAGCTTATCTTTTGACTAAGATAGTACTCGAAAGAATATATAAGGCAAATATAATAAACACAATAAATGTAGTTTGCAACACAAAAGACAATGCTGGCCGGAACATATTTTTTTTTGCATCATGTTATACATTGTTATTATTGTATCATATCATGTGAGATCTAGTTCGACCATCTGATTCGAGAGCAAAGTTAATATAGAGACAAAGGCATACTGGCTAGTTCAAGCACTCACTCTCCCAACAGGAAAGTTCGTGTCTATTGGGCGTTTCCTGGCTACGATCCGAGAATAACGTAACAAAAGAGTTTTTCTTTATGGCTGACAACGAGCCCAGCGATAGTTTGCCGCGCGATGCCAATGCAGCGCTCCGACGGCTTCAGGAAAACAGAGTCCCAGTGCCAGACATCGATTTCACGATTCATGAAATGGAGGATGGGACCAAAGTATCGACTTTAGATCGATATTGCAAAGGTTAATGTTTGCTTAATTTTTAACTCATTCACGTTATGTAGTATTGTCTGTGTGCTTCCTTATCGTAGCTTTTCTGCAAACAATTTATGCCACGCCCTTTTCAAGTATAGTTATATGCGACAGCGCGTGATTTTAGCACCTAATACTTTTCCCATCTCTTTCGCTTCCCTTTCACCAACTATGAATTTTTATCTCGTGTCAACCAAGTATTATTTACTCGATGTTTTAATATAATATCTTTTCATATTCAGAGGTCCAAGCGCCTGCTGTTCATCTGCCCACAGATGAAGAATTCTACTCTAAAGAAGACCCGACAAAACCCGATCTTGCATTCTTGAAGAATCATTTTTATCGGGAAGGCAGAATTACAGAAAAACAAGCATTGGACATTATTAACAAGGGAACGGAGATATTAAGACAAGAACCTAATCTACTCGAGGTTGATGCTCCCATAACAGGTAATTGAAGATTAAAGAAGTGAAAGGCTTATAGAAGGACTTTTAATATTATGTCGATGGGTTGATTATCAGTTATGCGGTTGAATAGTGATCAGTTAATGTATGATGGGTAGATAGCGAATGTATGCTAATTTAGCTTGGTGATATAGTGGATGTATGCTACATATTTATCTTTCTTTACTTACAAGACTTTACGTCTGTTGCCAGTATGTGGAGACATTCATGGACAGTATTATGATTTAATGAAGTTGTTTGAAGTTGGTGGTAATCCTGCCGAAACTCGGTATTTGTTCTTGGGCGACTATGTTGATAGAGGATACTTTTCTATTGAAGTATGCGTTTTATTATTATTTCTATCAACGCAAAATGCTATGTTGTTTTGATGATAAGCACTCATCTCTTGTCATTACCTTCTTTTTTATTCAAGTGTGTTCTCTATTTATGGAGTTTGAAGATATGGTACCATGATACCTTATTCCTGTTGCGTGGTAATCACGAATGCAGCCATTTGACAGACTACTTTACGTTCAAAATAGAATGTAAGTATTGAGTTTTGATACTACCTTCAATACGCTCACGTGTCCGGTATGATGACTAAATGCTATACTCTTTAAACAGGCAAGCACAAGTACACAGAAGCTGTATATGATGCTTGTATGGCATCATTTTGTACACTTCCACTTGCTGCTATAATGAATAAACAGTTTCTATGTATTCATGGAGGACTTTCTCCCGAACTAAATACATTGGATGACTTGCGTAGTGTATGCATGCTATGATGTGTAACAATACATGTAATTATGCTTATTTACAAACTACATCTTGTCAATCTATCTTCTCATACCTTCGTTAGATTGATCGATTTAGAGAACCCCCGACTCATGGCTTAATGTGTGATTTACTGTGGGCTGATCCGTTAGAAGACTTCGGCTCCGAGAAGACAAACGAATGCTTTATACAGAATCACGTGAGGGGATGTTCATATTTCTTCAGGTAAGCGCCCGAACTGACATAATGTATTTGTAAACATATATCACGCATATTTCTTACGATATCTATAAATTTGTATACAGCTATTATGCTGCATGTGCATTCTTGGAGAAGAACAATCTCCTGTCTATTATTCGAGCCCATGAAGCTCAAGATGCAGGGTAAGAACTTTTGAAGACAATGAAATTTAGACTAAAAGTGTCATTGTGTTGACAGTTTTACTATCGTGTTATTTCGTTAACTTGACGTTCTGATTCTCGTTCAGATACCGAATGTATCGAAAGACAAAATCAACAGGTTTTCCGTCAGTAATGACTATTTTCTCAGCACCGAACTATCTCGACATTTACAACAACAAAGGTTAATTGCGATTAATTGGTCTTTTTATAATTTTGAGCTGGTGTACGCGAATTATCTTCGTTCTCAACGTAATACTAATATTCTTCATCTGACAGCTGCCGTATTGAAATATGAAAACAATGTCATGAACATCCGGCAATTCAATTACACAGCACATCCATACTGGTTGCCTAACTTTATGGATGTATTTACGTGGTCACTACCCTTCGTAGGTGAAAAGAGTACGTATCATGCACTTGCGCTCGCGTAACGAGAAATTCTGACAGCGTTCTCAGCGCAATTTTACTTAATATGTTTTTCTAATTTTATATTGCGTAATAGTTACGGATATGCTGTTGGCCATCCTGAATATCTGCAGTAAAGAAGAATTGGAAGACGATGAACTCATTGCAGAGGTGAAAACACCTGGTAATGACACGAAATAGACCAAATGTTGCATTAGCAATAACCATAGCATATAAATACACATATGTAAAAAATTTCTTCATGCATCTATTAAATTCTTTTACTCATTAGTTTCAGAAACACCGGGAGAAAATGCAGAGAGACGTCAAGTTATTAGGAATAAAATCCTGGCTGTAGGCAAAATGGCCAGAGTTTTTTCCGTTCTCAGGTAAACGTCATTTACTATTTTTGTTAGTTTAATGAGCGTCGATATTCAACAATGCATCCTTTTACGTGATGTAGAGAAGAATCTGAACGCGTAATGGAACTCAAAAGTGTCACCGGAACAGGAAAACTGCCGTACGGCACACTCGCCCTGGGAGTTGAAGGCATTAAAAAAGGTATATTACTGGCATGATTTCCACGCGTATCTATGTCTTAGATTATACTTTTCATTCTTACTAACGTATGGCCAAACAATAATTACTGACTTTTAACAGCCATTACCTCATTTGAAGAGGCACGACGTTCTGATCTCGATAACGAGCGTCTCCCTCCCAGCAGATCGGAAATTGAGCTTCAAGAACGCCAAAAACAGGAACGCGCCATTGCTCAAGCTGTAGAGGAAGTTGATAAAGATCCAGAAATAGCTGATATAGCCGAGGCCTTTGTAAAGGACGACGAAAAGCGAAGAAGTCTTAAAGAGGCCATGTTGGCAAATACCGTGAAGGAATCTTAGGGCACGATGTATTTAATGGTTGTTAATTTATTGTTTCTGTAGATGATGAATAAATTAATGGGAGAATGACCGATGGGATTTTTGTGTCAATAGATTTGCTTATGCGTTCTCGCCCAAATTGATGTTGTCAAGGAGTCCTTGTCTTCATTATTCATTTCCTTTTTTTTTTCTTCGGCCTGTGTAAATCTGAAATGTCAACCTTACGAGTTGACAGACAAACAAGTTCTTGCGTTTAGTCATTAAGATCCATGATAAAAAACTGGGATTTTGCTCCATTATAATTATTAACGTAACTTCGAAAAACTATTGAATGCATGATTTTGTTGTGATTTCGATAAATTCGCAAGTCCGCTAAGTTACAACTTCCTGAATAAAACATTTAATGTCAGCGAGTTCTTGTGACATGATAACCCCTGTGCAAAGGACATCCCCATGGTCACTAAACCCTTGAAATATGTGATCAGCGTAAAATATCCCAGGATACTCTAACTCCGTGTTTCCAATGCCTTCATCTGAGCCAAAAGTTCTCGTATTCGGATCTATCAACATCGTATGCAGGCCGATTATCGTCAGCCTTGTATATCTATTTAAAAATACTGACTGATATCATGATACAATAAGGATGACTTTTTCGCAGTACCGCATATAGTGCAAAGTGGAGAGACATTACACAGTACTGGATATCAAAAGAGAGCCGGCGGAAAAGGTAGCGTCAAAAAGAAAATACGGTTCATAGACAAACCTTGTCAACATAGTTTTTTCATCGAATCCACACAGGAGCAAATCAATCTGTTGCCGTAGCCAAAGTATGTGTGTTCAATTGGAAAGGATTTTTTGGTGAAGAATTGTTTGCTGTTGCTATTATCTTTATCGATAACATAATTTGTCGTATAACAAGGCAGCTATAAAGAACGTCTATCATGCTGGGAAGATTGGTAAAGATGGTGAATGGATTAAGGATTACATGATCTCTATTGGTGTCAATATGGACAACGTGCACGTGTCCAATTCGCAGGTAATTGAAACGAACGTTGCATTTAAAATAGTCGCGGATGAGTCAGAATATTAAGATCCATTTACGTATGCATATTATACTTCATTTTGGATGACGGCGCATTTATCGTCTTGCTTTTTCTTCTATTGTACAGCCGACGGGCAGAGCTGTCGTTCAAGTATCAAATGCGACCCATGATAACGCGATCGTACTCCTTCCAGGTTCCAATCATCAAATAACATTACAAGATGCTAAAAACGTACTGGGACATTTCAACAGAGGAGACTGGCTGGTAATGCAGAATGAAATAAATGATGGAGGGGATATCATGAAACTTTTCAAAGAAAAAGGTAGCGTGATGATTCGCCAACTAGCATTGCGTTACTTTTGCATTCGTTAATTTACGTACTCATTCGTTCTACTAATATTGCTTGAATACACTTTTCCCGCCGCATCCTTAGGTTTGGTAGTCGTATTCAACCCCGCGCCAATGGTTCCAAACATTACTAGAAAATTCGATTTTTCCTGTGTTGACCACTTGATCCTCAATCAACACGAGGCGCGCCAAATCCATCCTCAACTCTCTGATAATGTTACCGGAAAAGAGACTGACGACATTTCCGACTTGCGCGTGGTGATTGATGACATTTCTGCGGCTTTTCCTCATATCACTACGATAATAATAACACTCGGTCGACACGGTGTGCTTGCTAAATTCAAAGGAGACGACGACGTGTTTCAATGGGATGCAGTAAAGTCTGTAGTTAAGGATACAACCGCTGCCGGTGATTGCTTTACTGGTTATTATGTGGCTGGTCTGATACGTGGGTGTTCTATCGATGAACCCGTAAGCGGAGAGAGAATGAAAAATGCAATCAAGGTAGCCACTGTTGCCAGTGGGATTGCTGTGACTAAAGAGGGTGCAATGGATAGTATTCCAACTATGAAAGAGGTTGAAGCACGACGAATGGAACTAAAATTGATTTGAAGAAATTATGTTAAAGGTCAATGTAAGCCACTCAGTATTACAATTCCGTCAATGCCCTTGTCTTTGTGATGTTCATTGTCAGAGTTTGTTATCGATGGGTTATATTACGAGCGAGAGTATTATTACATTGTTCAACGAATATGTGAGCTTTCAAATGTATTGTCATTTTGGCTTGCACGAAATCATGAACGAAATAGAGACACGTAATAAATCGAGACAAACGTGCGCATGATTTCCCAGAATTTGTCGTGTACTATTGAAACATTGAAGACTGCATTTAGAAATGCGTAATATATACCTATATTTTTGCGCCCAATATATAATGTCTAACGAGTCTGTGAAATCATCAACACGAACATTAATTACTTTGGGATACAAGCTAACCAAGAGTTTATTATAAATATTATGCTCGAGTAAGAGGTAGAGGTTCATCAATTGAATCACGTAATGTGCTGTAATGATGTGAATTGAGAGGCCATGTTTTGCCATCACCGTATCTACATTGAATAAGAAAATAATTCCATTGTATCATTGTCAATTACTCTCACACCATCAACATCAACTTTGAATGCATCGAACAAGATTACTTACGAATTATATACAGGAACAAACCAAAAATACCATTGAGGTCCCATGACCTGTACCCAGTTGTTCTTCATACCAACGTCAAACAAGTTCAAATATTTACTCGTCGTCACTTCTCCATCGTCTTTCACTTTATAGTTCTTCACTTGCATACTCTCCAACGTAGTTTGATTATGACATATCAGGTTTGTATGATAAATGACAAATCCAACCAAACATAGCGTAAATACGCCAGATACAAGAACTAAGAATGTCCAATGAAGATCCAGTTCGATGAACGCCTCTCTTGACGCACTGACAAACTCGACACAGGCTAAAAGCGTTGTCAGACATGCGAACAAGCAGTAGATATTAGCATAAAAGATGAAGAGATAAAAAAACTTTTGGTTCCTATGGCCAATGCAATTGTTTAGCCTATATATGGTGAGAATGCAACGTTTGTTAAGACGAGACAATAATAACGAAATGAAAATGTCAAAAGCGAAATCTTACCAAGGACAATGACTGAACAAGAGCGGTGATGATAACGGGGTGTTGAAAAGGTTGAGTTAGATTCGCAATTCGTATCTTTATGTTGACACATACGCACAATCCCACGCTCATGACAAAGCATACTTACTGATCCATCTTTAAAATACACTTTTTGCAAACTCTGCAATGATGTGTTCGATCCGGTTTAAACCCTTTGCATTTCTGACAGTATCGTTTGTTGCCATTATTCTTGACTGTTATGACTGTTTCTGCGACAATAACATTGGAACCATCGTCCACGTCAACTACATGTTGCAAGTGTTCGGATGGTGGTACCGGGTTGTATGATTGCTGTATGGCTGCTTGCTGTTTTAGAGAAGTGGTGGGTAAGAATCATGTTTAATTGATAGTCGTCATAATTACGAACAATAGCTTGATTACATAAGACAATCGAAATTGTATTTACGTTTGAGGGATGTCCAGGCGATGTTGTAACGGCTTTGGAATAACTCCAAAGCATCAGTACCAGTAGCAAGTGGTATACTATAAGGTATATTACTCCTAAGCACAAAAAACAATAACAAAACTCGTCAGCGAAACAAGTCTTCAATCGGAAGCATCACTGGATGTGGAATGCATGAGCCAAATGCCAAAAGCCTAGATCTTTAGTGACTTGTAAACGCAATAGTTTGCTTTACTGTGAATTCTTATTCTGTACCTTGTATGGGATAATTCGGTAATAAATATAATATACATAATCTACAAGCGAAGACATAGTAGCTCCATGATATAACCGATATCAGAAATACTAAAGGGAAATAGCTCAGAATAAGTTTGAGCTTTTGTATAGGTTTTCTTTCAGTCATGCTGCTTTTTCTGGTTCAAGACCATTTCTCGGTCGCATACGCACGAGTTTGCAATTTTTTATATATACAATTATTAAAAGAGAAAATGGGGTTGTCTATGTTATGTATATGTATACGTTTGGGCTTAGCAAAAATTAAACCGGTCGAAAGGGAATTGTTTCAGTGGCGAAGCAGGATTTAAATCCGGTATTAGTAAAATGGAACGGTTACACTGACGCGTGGTGTACATTTTAGGAAAAAGCGTGTAATCGCTGTGGATATGGCTTAGAAGATATATTGGTGGGCGAAGCAGGAACCGGTTTTGAATTGGACGTGCGGAGAGCAACGATTATAGACTTTATTGGACGTTTGAACTATGCAAAATATCGTGGCAAACATCAAAGCTGTTAAGGTATTCTGATTGTCGCCAATATAGCACAATCCGACTCATATCACTTACTACTATTGGATTTCAAATATCCTTGTTAATAAACAAAAAAAATACGCATCGAATATAAATATTATCCAACTGTCAAGCCAACACTTTCGTAATAAGTTTTTGGTTGTGCGTTTCGATAAAACATTTTTACATATTTAATAGTAATAATCTTGATATACTAATTAGAACAAACATAATTTTCGTTCTGGGAATGCATTCCGGCTTTTTTTTATCTGCCGAAAGACATATAAACCTTATACCAAAAAAGCGATAGCCCTCGGGATGCTCACATATGATAACCCTACAGCTGTGATCTGAAACAGATCGCGTGCAGTCTGCAATGTAGTACAGCAAGCAGTTCAACGACCTTCTTTGTTCTAGCACCAAATTTAGAATTTGTCATACCCACATATCATTACACAAGAAACTCTAACTTTATATTCAACATTGTTAAAGCAAAAATTTCAAAGCTGGGTTAAGGTTGGGAACGTGCATGCTAGTTTAAATCTAAATTGTTACAATACGCATTCCTACATTTCCGCTTCTTCTTTTTTTCCTGAGAATGTTACGTTCGACATTTCACATGAGAAATTTGGTACTAACCAAAGTCTGCCGTATTTTAATTTAAAAGATCAACAAAGGGACAACGAACGCTAGAAACATTATTGGATTAGGTGCCTCCCCCCCGAGCTAACTAATTTCTTGTCAGTGTTGTGGCGTTCAGCCTTTGTGGCAACGGTGGCTGTGATCGTCGTTAACAATTACAAAGGCGACGACTTTTATTTTCTACTTCAGCAAGTTTAACGGAAAAAATAATATCGTTTAAAATGTACAGACTATTGGAAAAAAGAAGTAAATAAAAATGAAAATACAGACATGAAACCTTGTAAGAAAGAAAGAATTCAAGGACGCAGTTTGCTGATTTATATTGTATTTCTAACAATCTTCATCTCTATTAGGCCCCTTCCTGTGCGTGTCTATCCACATTCCTCAACAACTATTCATTATCCGCCCTTGACATATTATCCTTCTTACGTGTCTCAACTGCACCTATTCGTGTAACCCCCTTTCTCGCTTTCGTTGGCTCAACTCATGTTGAATGAGCAAAGCAGGAAAAAAAAAGAGAGATTTATTTTCCTATCGAGTGGAGCTCGATCGGCTCTGATGATCCGACGCTGATAAATGAGTGCTTGACCCACTTGGATGGGTCGATGCGCGTTGGGAAGCCAATCTCGGGTTTGAAGACGCTGACACTGGAGAACAAAGCACGAATTTTAATATGGAAATTTACGTGTTTGAAAAGATGTAAAACCCGATTCGAGTATTATTACCACTTCTTGATCGTAGTAATGGATTGTCTGTTTCCGGAGTGAGTCCCGTATTTACAGGCTTTTTATTTGGTTCGCTGGCACTTACGCTTCGCGCACGAACAAGATTTGCGGATGATATGCTTGGGTTTGCACCTACATTATGCGAGTTTGAACGTCTTGCTGTCTGTGACGAAGTAAAAAAATAGTCAAAGTATTTAAAAAGCAAATAAAAGTATCGTAACAAATCCAACTCTTTACGATTGAGACTACTTACCGCTCGCGAACTGTTGTGTTTGAGAAAAGCCGGTGTCCTATTATATTCAATGCAATTTTCAATTCAAAAACACTCGCAAATACGTTCTCGGATTTGAAAATCGAAATTTTTTAATCCCAATACTTATATTAACCCCACTACGTCTCACGCTTGTATCATATCCCGGGAGATATATATATATATATTTTAAACAAAAAACTTACGGTTCCTCGACAAGCAAATCTGCAGCAGAAATTCCAAGCCTCTTTCTTAGTTCAATTAATTCATTCTTATACCGCGTCGCCTGACTTGATTTGTGAACATCTACGAAGGCGGAAAATACAACGTACCCATTCAATTAAATGACGGGTTATGATAGTCAAAGAAGACTTTCGTTGAGAGACACAGAGATGGAAAGGGAAGGTTGTGGGTGTGTGGAGATGAATACGAACATTCTTTCTCGATCTCTGAGAGTCGTAATCTTAGTGAAGAAATTTCCGCACGCAAGACTTCGACGACACCAGGAGATGTGTTTGGAAAATCGGCTGTGGTCGGAGAATGCGAAGAGTGCCATTTTTTGCTACTAAATAATAGGAGGGGGGGTAAAATGAGGAGGGAGGAGGTTGAGGAGGGAAGGGGAGGGAAGGGAGAATAATAAGAAGAATGAAACAACAAAATACGTGATACTATGCTCTAATGTGTAATACGAAATGCAACTATCGGCATAGTTGACCACCATCTAAAAAGTCATCCAGCCGGCACGCGCACCTTGTCGAGGGCGATCCAGGAGGTAACAATGGCGTACTAGCGTTCGGTACCGAGACCGCGCCGCCTTCTCTTGAATGAAAGCCATACCCTGCCTGCTGTCTCAAAGCGTCTAATTGTTTCTGTAGCCGGTTCACGATATATTCTTGTTCTTGCTCCAAGGCATTTTCCATGTCAATCTTTTCTTTCTGTAACTGATTCAATTTTCTTTGCAACGTATTCGTCAGATACTCTTCTTCTTGCTCGACCTGAACGAGTAACTCTCCCTTCTCTTTCTTAAGACCAGATATGCGCTTGAGTAATTTGTTCGAAATATATTCTTCCTCTTGTTCGGCGGAGGCATGCATGTCGACCGTCATTTGCCTAAGCATCTGGTTATCGTGACGAAGAATGTTGACATGGCCTTTTTCCATCTCAATCTCGAATTTGAGTTTTTTGAGTTCGGATTCTTGTTGCCGGATTTTCTCATTTGCCTTGTTCAATTCCTCTTTGAGCAATTGTGGATCAACCATACTCGGGCCGGATTGCGATGATGGTTTCGTGTTGGTTGACTCGCTGAATGTGAAAAAAAAATGATAATGATATGCGTCGCGATTAGAAACAATTTAAAAAAAAAAACGTGATAGAGCGAAAAGACGGGAATAGAAAAATCCGAGTCCCAATGGAGAATAAGACCGTATTATATTGGAACAGATTAGTTGGTAGGTTACCTTGAATTTGATTGATTAATTTGTAATTGGGACATGGTTTGTTGAAAGTTTTTCGCACGCGCTTCCATAGAGGCTTCCAAATCCGCTTTTTCTTTGCGGGCCTGCAGCAAAGATTCCGAACGACATCGTATATGATTAGGTGCGATTACCAATCTTTTGATTCGTTCGTTTCACATATTCTCTAGTAAGAATCGAATAAAAATCATTGAAATGTGAAAGTCAACGACTAATTACCGAGTCCAACTGTTCTTGAAGAGACTTTGTTATGCTAACTTCGCTTTGTTCCACTTGCTGAAGCGCTTTTGTCCTGCCCTGTGATAAAAAACGCATTTTCCTTTTTAATGAGAGTCATCATCGTATCGTATATTTCAATATTATTCGGAATTCACGCTATTGTTTATCTAAAATTCTCCCGCCTAGTTTTCTACTGCTTTTCCTTCCTCGACTCTCTCTTTCTCTTCAGCTGTCCTCCCTCTTGCGCTTGTTCTAAGTGTCCTCATACCGAAATGTTCTTTCCCTCCTCCTCGGTAGCCTCTAAATCATTTCTTCTGTCTTCGTTCTGCATAATTACGAAAGGATCTCCCTATCATCCTTGCCAAAGCATGAGACCAAAGATAATACCCGTGATCGATGACGCCCTTGTACGACGCCGTTCCCACACACTTTCTACTTGTTCGGGCGAATAATTCCCTACATAAATTGCAATAATGGTAATTCTCCCTACAAAGTAACCGCCTGCTGTGTAAGCTACTTGATATTCTTTGATTCAGCAAACCCGCAGTAGATGTCATCAAGTGACAATGCTAATACTGGAATTTTAACATGGTAACAATTACAAATGCACATAATGGCAAAGAAAGGGTGTATCGCAAGTTTAGTTCGCGTGTTTGGAACGTCATAGGCGAGCTCGCACAAACAATTATAATGCGCAATTGAATCAGACAATGTGCTATTATTATTTTTTTGGTATATTATTATTATACAGAAAAGTTTCCATCACTATCCGAATATAGGCATCCCCTACTTTAATCGAATACCACAAACAATGCTTATTCTTTTTCTATCTTTAACTAAAGTTTCTCACCGTCAACCGTGTGAAAAAAGTTTGTGAAACTGTGCTTCGTAGTGACAGTTATAATTGGACGTGTTAAAACATTGGATACAATTGAGAAAAGTTAGTATGTATCAAAGAATGTTCCTCTACAAAACAGGCAAATTTCTTTGTTAGTGAACTGATCCACACTGAAACAACCAAATAAAGCATTAGTTGTATATAAATCGCGCTAACTTATACGATTCCCAAGTTTAACAATTGTGGCAGAACAAAACGAGGCCGTAAATTGTGTCAACGAGTAAAAATATTTGTGTCTAAAAATTTCTCAAGCTTATATTAAATGCTTGTCGCCGCATAAAACGAGAGTTGGTTAAACTAATTTTATGACAGAAATTTGAAAACTTTTAAAATACAATGTTTTTAGTTATAGGCGTTTATATAACAATAAACAACTTGATTCAATCCTCCCCAATAATAGGCATTGCGCTGTTCGCATGCACACCAAGTTTTGCGAAAGGATATACAGTCAAAGCTGGCTATAACGAACTTCGGTTATAACGAAGATCTGTTTATATCGAAGATTTTGTCTAAGCCAATTATAAATAGTCATAATCTTAGTTATAAAATGTGACTTCGTTATAAGAAATTTCTGGTTATAAAGAATATTTTCTCTGGTCCCGTCGAATTTATTATAACCAGCTTTGACCGTAACATAAATAATAAACAAAAAGTAACATACTGTGATACTGAATACCAAGATTTTGCTGATTACAATGATAGTTTAAAAAAGCTCTGAGAGAGCCAGATAAACTCAGCAAAAGAGATTATCAAAAGAAGCTGAGAAAGACAATGAGAAATAGTCAGCAAATTTAATAAACCTCTAGTACTAGACCAACCAGTTTTATTTACAGAGTATTTAGCACGAAAGAAATTCTACTCTCAAAATGGATTACCAGTGGAACTAAATCTAATCATTGAAGAAATAATAGCTGCTTATTATACTCACCCTCTTCAACAGCTGGCATATAAGGAATTAGTTGAAAGAGACCAAAAAAGGCAAGAATACTTAAAAGAGATTGCTGATTGTCAAGAACATATAAATGATTTGGAAAAAGAGGAGCAAGATTATTTAGCTAACCTTCAAGAGACCATCAATACACAATGCCTGGCATTCAAGCATTGCAAGACAGAGCCAGAAAAGAATAAGAAATCACAGAAATATTGGCTAAACAAACTAAGGAATGGCGAGAAATGTTACGGCGAGCTGATCGGCTGACGTCGATAGTAAGTCACATGGTAAAATCTTCCTCCGCAGTATTCAAACAATACCCCTGACGATCTATTAATAAGTAGATGTTACTCAAAAGCAAACGCGAGTAACGCGATTTTGGTGACAGTTTTGAACACAAGAATGTAGCTAAAAATAGAACATAACGCGAGTAACGCGATTTTGGTGACAGCGGGAGAGAAATAGAAAATACGTGCTCTGTGGCGTAGAAAATCTAGTAACAGCAAAATGTATATAAGGAGCCGTCCCGACCGTCAAAAATCCTCATGTTGAAAATGTTGAAATCGTTGATGTTATAAAATTGTTGTATGTCAGATCGGAATTTGTGGTATACTAAATATAATACTGTGAACGCGATGGGCCTATCTTCCCTGCATTGCTTCAGTGATGGGCTCTTTGTGACTAATGCTATAAATGACAACATAATAGGCATCTATGTCATAGCTTACAACGATAATATTGTATATAGCAATGAGATTACTTCATCAATGTGTTAAGTAAATACTACGTTCGAGCAATGAACAATTTATCCAACCATTATAATTATACTTTATACGATACGATATTAATCTCTCTTATTTATGTTAACCACATCGGAACCATAGCCTTTACCATGTTGGTTAAGAAAGTTATTAAATGTTCGCAACGCAGGAACACATAGTAAAATTATTACGCTTTAAGCCGACGGAAAGACTTGAAACAAATAATAATACTAACGCAACATATTTAACTTTCATTCTCAGCGAACGTACGTCATCACGAACGCTTTTAATATACTCTTAACATGATTATTATAGCGAACAATTATTAATTAGTCAACGTTCAGCGCAAAGCTTTTAATTAATGAAAGCTTTTATACATAGCGGAAGTCTTATAGTAAACCAGCTTCCATATCGCTACGTTTATTATTATAGTTAAGCTTCTTCTTCACGATAATTGCTCCGGGAGACTTATAAAACGAGATTGCATTTATTATCTTTTCATTCGAACTAATCGTATTTAATATTGAATCGCAGCGATGGTTAACCAAGTTTTAAGACAAACGTCTAACGAGGTTCATTACGCATTGAATCCAAATATTAAACATCGCCTGGCACATCGTTGCGAAAGAAATGTTTTGAGTTACTGAATGCGTTAGCGATAGTTCTGTTTGTACGGTACGAGAATGCAAATACAATTGTAAGTAAACATATCATTGTGAATATGCTTTAGTTACTAAAAACGTTAATGAATTTTCTACTGTGAGAAAATTGAAAGATGAGAATATTAAATGCTATTGTGAAAGAATGCTTTGAGCTACAGAAGACGTTAGCGATTATCTTTTGTTCGTAGGTGAGTAAACATCGCCTGACATATCATGGTGAAAGAATGTTTTGAGTTACCGAATACGTTAGCGAATAGTCATTCTATTGGTGCAGGATACAAATACAATAAGTAAACATCGATTGACATATCATTGTGAATATGCTTGACTTGCTAAAACGTTAGTGATGGTAACACTTCCATTGTGAAAAACGAGAGTATTCAAATGGCGTAATGAATGTGGCTCAGCATAAATACAGAATACGTTAGCTGTATTCCTTCGATTGGTACAGAATGCAAATACAATAATGAGTAAACAATGATCAACATATTGTAACCATCTGGTTTAAGCTTAAAGTGGTGTGCAACACATATTTACCAGCCAACTTGTCAACCAAATTTGGGCTAAAAAATGCGGATGGATCGTGTGAAATTAACAGATCTGCAGTTGGGGATTTAGTAATAGCTTACTACATAGATCTGATTTGAGCGATAAACAGAATGATAGGACAACAGTGTATGCCAATTATTATTTGTTTGATGAGTTACCAAACAAGTTTGCGCTAACATTACAATTAATGATTATTCTATGTCAGCTTACGAGTCGATGTGTAAAATTAGTCAATATTATACTATTTATGATTTGCCGAACTCTTCAATTACCTTCACTGAATGAATCGTTTGTGAGTATTTGAAGATAATTTTGCTGTTCTTTCTAATCTCCGGCATTGGCCTAAGTTGTGCAGTTTTTGTGAGAATAAACGTCATTTTCGATCACATGTTTTATACGATTTTCCTTATGACAGTAATACATGCGAAATAAACGTTCTAAACTTTCAATGTTTTACATAAGTGAATACGGTTTGGGATTGGACGGAGGTTATGTTGCGATATAATTACATATGAGAGCAACAAAATGTTATGAAGTATATATATTAACTGTCACAGTCGACAGGCAATAATCTGTTACGCGTATATTATTTATCGTTCGGGTAAGATTAAGTGTAATGTAAGACGTAATACAAGTAGTAATACCACAAGTTCCTTGTGCTTGTATATATTATTTTATCTTTTATGCTAAACTTACCAACGTTAATAGCCATATAAACAACCTTCGTCCCTAACTTCAATTGAAATTGAAATTGAATATTGAATATTGAATATTGAAGTAAAAACAAACGCTTATTCGCTGCATGATGCTAACTAAATTTATACCGTCTATTACCATATTCAGAGATCTGTGTTAACTTCCGTCAAAAAAAGTATAAATACGATTCATGTCGATCATTTGATATCGATTACGTAAGGGTGGCTTTACACTTTCGATGATAACATCCTAAAAATTGCAGAAACCTTCAAAATGAAAGCACAGCCATTTAGCTTCAAAATGATATAAATTTTATTTGCAGTTATATAAAGTAATGGCAACTTGAAAAAATCAATTTTTTATATGTTTTACTAGTAAAATCTTGCATCGTATTTATACTTTTGGCACGGGGGTGTATATGGGAAATCGGGATATCGTTGAAATACAGAAATTTATAGGACATAGTAGGGAAAATTGTTGGATATATCCACGGGTGGTTTATAAGACTGTAGTTTATGAATTTAAATGAGTAATTGAACATCAATATTAGTATTACTAGTTGTTCACACGGCAGCCGTTTGCGTTTAACAAGTTCAAGACAGCCAGAATTACATTGAAAATAAACGGAAATTTGGCTTTAGTGTTTATACATTAGACATAGTTGTGCAACAATTTTTGTCCTATGTTTATGGCCTCATCTGAACATACAAACATCGAAATAATGTTGTTAATCTCTCAACGGGTTATTACTCGACAGAAAATATTGCATGACATCTAACTATAAGAGTTAGTCTTCTGTTTTTGGAATAACCCATTTGACTGACAAGCGATCGA